TGATACTCAGTCGTGATACTCAGTCCTGATACTCAGTCCTGATATTCAGCCATGATACTCAGTCCTGATACTCAGCCACGATACTCAGTCCTGATACTCAGCCATGATACTCAGTCCTGATACTCAGTCCTGATACTCAGCCACGATACTCAGTCCTGATATTCAGCCATGATACTCAGTCCTGATACTCAGCCACGATACTCAGTCCTGATACTCAGTCCTGATACTCAGTCCTGATACTCAGTCCTGATACTCAGCCACGATCCTCAGTCCTGATACTCAGTCCTGATACTCAGCCATGATACTCAGCCACGATACTCAGTCCTGATACTCAGCCACGATACTCAATCCTGATACTCAGTCCTGATACTCAGTCCTGATACTCAGCCATGATACTCATCCATGATACTCAGTCCTGATACTCACAGCTGTGATGACCAACATCACTTTAACACTGATGCTGAAGATGTGACATCAGTCATGACTGGAATATCAGTACTTGCTTTATTCATCTTCATGCACGCTCACACGTCTGCACCGCTGCTCTCAGGGTGCTGCTTGCTTGCCACCTCATACTGCAGTGTGTCACTAAGCGGCCTCCATACCTACAGCCTCAGTTTTAAAAGCACACCGCGAATCAGAGAGAGCAGAGAGCTGGAGGGAGCACCAGGTCCTCCTGCTACAGACCTCCTCTCTGAACACCTCCTCGTCTCTGACACCAGCTGGACTTTCTCTCTGCTGTCAGCATGTGAGGACGTGGAGCTATCGCCTCTTCATTTGGAGCAGGTGAGTCCGTCAGCTGAGGTGTTTTCACTGAAGCAGCTCTCAGGTGGTCTGAAAACTGTGACCTGTCATTTCTGTGCATGTGTTTTAGGACACGTCTGTAATCTGCAGCTGATGCAGAGACTCTCCCCAAACGGAGTCATCGAGTCTTTGCTTAAACAAAGATTTTAAGCTTTTAATAAAAGACCCAAACTGTCACTTTAACCTGGGGGGTGGGGGTGGGGGGTGTAAACTAAGGTGTGTTTGTGTTCTCCTCAAATCCCGGAGGGAAATGTTTCATGTTCTGCTGCTGGTTTGATCATCATCATCATCATCATCACTGTCATCGTCTTCCTGTAAACAGGTCAGGGGCGATTCAAGCATTAGAGCTTTGGGGGTGAGAGCTGCCCAGCCAGGCAAGATAAATCATAAGATTCTTAAATTCATCAAGTCGCTCTGTGCCTGGGTCCTCGTCTCAAAACATGACATCACTGTTTTGTACATTTGAACACAATTTAATCCCACATTTGTGAAAGAAAAGAAAAACACTTTTTTTTAAAAGTCTGTAACAAAACCATCAAATCTGATAAAGGTTATTTAAATGCTGCTAAAGAAGAATGGATTGGAATAAAAAAATACATATGCTAACCTTAATTACTGGGAGAATAATGAATGATGCTCATAGTAAAAAGTAAACTGTAAATTCTTGATTGAGGGATGATTTGATTTTACACTTTTATCTGAATGTGGCTCTTTTTTTTGAAAAAAGACTTCCTTATATCCATTATGAATCTGGCTGTCTCTACAAAAACAATGGTAAATGGCCTGTATTTGTATAGCGCTTTAGTAGTCATCCACACATTCACACACTGATGCTGGCAAGCTACATTGTAGCCACAGCCACCCTCGGGCGCACTGACATGTGTGTGCCCCAGGGTGGCCCCAAAACACACACACATTTTTGGGGTCAAAAATGACCCCAAATAGAAACAATGCATTTTGCTATAAACTCGGTTGTTATTCTTCAAAATCTTTAAAACAAAGAGTTGTAATATTTTCATATTTGAGGTATTCCTCATAAAACATGTTTGTGACATGAGGCCCTTTGCATTTTTATTAGTTTTTTCATTAATTTTAAGAAATTGCAGTTTTTGTATCACTTTTGTATGCTTGCTCTGCATATACTGCAGAAGCTGGGTCTTCCCTCTGAAAGGCACAAGTTGTTCATCCACTGTAACACAATCACTGAGGATGAATTTCTGCCTGCAGTTGACCAGGAACAGGCCCCATATGTAGCTGAAAGCTGCCACGTGGTTTGTTTTCAGTCGGTAGGCTCTGGTCCTCTTGTCATCAAAGTGCAAGAATCGGCAAATATCTTTAAATCTTTGAATTGACATAGTGGCCTTGTACAATGGGTTATGCAGAGGACTCCCAAAAAGCACACCGACTGGTACATCCCAGTTCGTCTCACTTCCTGCAAGGATGGTCAATCAAATGAAGGCCAGGAGCTTATGTTTGATTACATTTTTCCACTCTTTCCCCCTGTCTGTGGCTACTCTTCGTGCCTCCATGTTTGTGCATGTCAGCACCTCTTCTATTATATTATCAGACATGAACATCTTCCATGCATTTACTGGGGAGACAGTACTAGACCCAGGTGCAAGCCCTGGCCGACTAATTCAGAATATTGTGGCTAGAGCAGTAAGAGGGGCTCATTCTGTTAGACTCAATATTTATTTCGTCATCAGAGGACTCCTCTATATCTGACTGGCCTTGTTCAGTGGGGGGGGGGACAATAGTCTGGGTCCTCTATATCTGAGATGTCCGATGTCCAAGTCAATGCCTCCGATGGGCTCTTCATCCCATCCGTCCTGGATCATTTGTAGGGCCACAGGGATCCTAGCTGGCCTCATAGCAGCCGTGTTACTTTAGATATTTAAAAAAAACGATCAGAAAGGACAATGTTTGACATGCACAGGAAACTATAAACAGGGCTGCACATAAATGGTCCACAGGTGCACATTCGCTGTCAAAATAAAAGACACGCAGCAGATAAGAAGTTGGGACGCTCGTTTGCGTACATTAGATGTTCTGGAGGAGGACAGACATTTGTTCAGAACTCTTAAAGATGTCGAAGAAGCAAGCTCCGTAAGCAATGGTGTTCCTCCACCGCAAAAGAAGCGCGTATTCTCTGAATACTTTTATTTTGACAGCGAATGTGCACCTGCGGACCACTTATGTGCAGCCCTGACTATAAATCGTGTATGTTACTATGTAAAAAATAATTCCTGATCCATCAGAAGTGTAAGTGGGACAGTCAGAGAAGCTAAGAATGAAAGTTCCATAGAAGATTCCACAGGAACTGCTTGGGGTCATTTTCGACCCCACTTGTGGAAGAGTGGGGTAGTGATACAAAAACAGCATTTTCTTTAAATTAATGAAAAAATAAATAAAAATGCAAATGGCCTCATGTTACAAACATATTTTATGAGGAATACCTGGAATATGAATATATTACAACTTTGCATTTTAAAGATTTTGAAGAAAAACAACCTGCGGGGTCATTTTTGACCCCACATGTGCATCTAAGGGTTGAGGCAGGCACTAACACCTCCGCTCCGCTGCGTCTCAGCCACCATCGCTCTGGCAGCAATGGCGCTGGAGCCAGAGCAGGGGAGAGCTGGAACAAACCATTTTAGGAGGGGGGGTTATCTATACATTTGTTGTTAAAATGTTACGTCTCAAACAAGTACTGTATGCTTTTTATATGTTTAGTAGTGTGTCACACAAACAGCAAATATTGTCAAAGAAAGTAAGAAATCTTTGGGGGTGCTTTGATTCACTTTGGGCTAAAATCGCCCCTGAAACAGGTTAAAGATACAGAACATGAAAACTGCCCTGCAGCCGTTCAGCTGTCAGAGCCACATAAAGACGTCATGTCACATCGTTTCCTCCAGCTGTGACCTTTTCCTGCAACACAATGTTTTTTGCATTTTAAATCTTCGCTTCACGCTGAGCTTCGAGTTTTTCCCAAACTCTCAAAATATATTTAAAAAACTTTCAAATGTGATCAAACCGACACGTTAAAGGTGAAAGAAACCTGTGATTCTGCTCAGAAACAGGAAGTCTTTATTTTACTGTTGGTTTTATCTTCTTCATGAAGCATCAGTTTGAATTTCCTCAAATTTGATCAGTCGGCTTCACCTAAAGATACATGCGCAGACTAGTTGTGTGTCACACTGGTCTGACTGGTCTGAGTGTGCAGTGTGTAAGGGGGACAGGTCCCACTGCTGTAATACTGCAGTACACCAAAGTACATGCCTCTGATTTAAATGAACTTCAGTGTGGGACCTTGTAGAACCGTCTTTGCTCTGTAACGTTTGGATAACAGCACATCTGTGCCCCATACAAAGACCAAACATAGGAACATCTGTCTATTGACCCCGCGTTGAACAGCATGTACAGGTGCCCCGCACTCCGTTAACAGCAGGCTCGACAGCCCCGCTATTCTGTGATATTTACTCATTTTTCATTGGCATCAGCATCTCCTGCCACACGCATGCCCCGGGGGGGGGCATATCCTGGAGCAGAAGATTGTAAATTCACCTGAAGTCCTGCAGGTTTGGTTCGGAGCTTTATGAGGCTCAGAGGTGCCCGCTCTAACTGTTCTGGAGGTGTGAACCAGTGTCTGAGCGCACGGTTGTGAAAAGAAGTCGCTCTGTGCAGAGAGCGTAAAAGCTGCACAGCCCCAGTTTGTCAGACTACAGGTAAAGCTGCACCTGTGCCTGTTTCTCACCTGCTTCTAAAAAAGCTCCCACCACGTCACCTGAGACAGCTGTTGCTGTGTGAGACGGCCATGCTGCATCATCAGCAGTGTTTCATGGGATGACTTTTTGACTGTCAGCGAGGCGTTTCCGCCGTCGCAGCCTCATGTTGAGCTTCGTGCTTCCAACATGTGTCGACACTCGACCCCCTGCTGTTCTCAGGCTTCACAGCCAATACTGTCAAACAGGAAGTGAGTTTACGTCCACACATCAGAGAGTCCACTGGGACGCTTCATTAGTGATTCACACGTCTGAGCCAACCACACCCAGCAGCGCTTTCAGGTGGTGGACAGCACCTCACTCTCTCCTCGTGGAACATTCAGAGTAAGAATGACAAATTTGGACAGAGACACCACAGAAAAAGGAATGAATGGTGACAGGAAGAGATTCATCAGATTACTTAGGACTGCTCGCTGCGATATTTCCATACAGCGCAGATCTGCTTCATGCTTTCAGCCTGATTCTCTTCTCTCTGATTCGTCCATGCTGCCGGCGCACGTACTTAGCATCCTCCCCTCAACACATAACAGAGTCTCATCTGCATACAGCGACACGTCTCGTTCCTTTCTTCCAGCTCCTGCTCTCCGTTCTTAGTAACAAAAGAGTAATCGGGTGTTTACGGGTACAGAGAAAGGTTTTTGGGGACTGACTCGCTGCTTTCTTTAACAGTCACATCCTCTCTCGATGCTCCAGCAGCAGGATTAAAGTCGCTCATGTTTATTCAGCAGTTTCTACTCATAAACACGTCAATGCTTCCTGACAGGAGCCGATTCCACCAGTCAGCAGTGTTGTTGAGGATTTAAGCGTAAACAACAACCAGGCCGCTGTATGCATGTCAGTGTGCCCCCTGTTGGCCAAATGCTGTACTCTGTCTTCTCACCCCTGTGCTCCTCCAGCTCCTCCTCCACCATGAGCGTCTTCTCCAGTTCGATGGCTGGTCTGGGGTCGGAGGTGTGTGGCGACACCGCCTCCCTGGTCTCTTTGGAGTCAAGCGTTTTCCTCAGCGAGCGGACGGCGTCCTGTGTCAGCGACACACTCAACTTCTTCATCATCAACGTTGGCGGGAGTCGCTACATGCTGTCGCAGGATCTGCTGGCGTCCTACCCGGAGACCCGGCTGGGGAAACTGGCCTGCTGCAGCCGAGACTCGGCGCTGGAGCTCTGCGACGATGCCGACTTCCTGGAGAACGAATTCTTCTTTGACAGGAACTCCCAGGCTTTCCAGTAGGTGGCGCTCTTTCTCCTTGCAGAGGCAACGAGTTTAAAGTTAAAGTTTAAAGTTAATGTGCTTGTGCTGGGCCCTATTTCAGGAAGCCGGTTTAGTGCAAACTCTGAGTAAGTATACCCTGAGTT